TCAGCGCTGTCAGTCAGTCAGCCTGGAGTGACAGTTCCAGACTGACAATATCAATTTTGTCTGCATGCACAACTTACAGTAACCTTGCCGAGCCACAGGCTGTGCATGCCCAGAGTTTAACATAGCTTGGTGTGCTAAACGTGAACCAGGCTGTGTGTACATTGATAGCAGCCATGTCATGGCTGGTCTCAATTTACTGAGCAGTTCCACTCATCTTTTGGGGAAGAACTAATTATCACATAAGACATTGCTCTGCTGAGTTTTGGAGATAGAGCTAAACCACATACAACAAATTGAAATGCTCCTGACTGAAGGTCTTATTCTGGTGTGGAAAGGAACAGCATGCAGCTGAAATTTTTTTACAATGTTATTCAATTTATGTTCTATCTCAAGGGTAGGCAATCTCTAGCACTCCATATGTTGTGAACTACATCTCCCATAATGCTCTTAAGCCATCATGTTGGCAAAGCATCAGAGGAAATGTAGACTAAACATCAGGAGAGTTGAGGGTTGACTACCTCTGCTCTATCTAATGAATTAAAAAAATATATAAGTTCATTGTACCCCAAAGTGTGCCAAATAAAAACATCCCAAATGTTGTAAATTTGGTAAGGCTGTATTGAGTTTGAATCAAATGCTGTTTCTCATTTTGCTTTTGTGTTGTCTCCATTCTCAAACATATTGTCACATCTGCTAAGTGTACATAGTCAGAGCATGCATGGTATGCTAATTCAATATACAATGTGTTTTCATCACCCACCTCTGAACCCAATCTACAACCAGCTCTGTAGGTATATTTACCGAGGATGCTTATTTTTCTAACAATCGTGTCTTTAAACATAGAGAAAGGAAATATAGGCACTCAAAGAAATTGTGTGTACTATTTGTGCATTCTGTATGGTTCTATATACTCACAATTATGGTTAGTAATAATTTCATATTATTAACCTTCCATAATAGTGAGTATTATTAAGTAATAGCTTTTGTCTTATTTGATATGAAATGTTCTGTGTATCTACTACTGAAGACAGAATTATTTTTCTGGGAGCAGGATGGGGGACTGAATAAAAAACAATAGCTTTGGGACTACAGACTGATTATGAATAAAGGGAGCTCTAGGGCAGCAGTAGCAAGAGGCTGCAATATATCAATGTATATTTCCGCTGTAAAGTGGAAAGCTGATGCTATTATATGAATCTCTATAAATCACTATAAAAATAGTTTTATTATTTTTCATATTCTTTGGGTCATGCGACAAAAGTGGCTGGACTGGCTGGACTGGCCGATTACCTAAATCTATCTGCAGGCTATGTTCCAAACTGAGGGCCTCCAAATCTCCTGGGTCAAAAGCCCATTTTACCTGAAAATGAATTAATCAATTCCTGAATTATGTAAATTACTTTGAATTTGTTAATAGTTATTAGAGTCTTATCGTATACCTTACTGTATTGTTTTTGCTGAAGCTGATCATCAGATATTAACTCATAATGATTGTGAAATAATGCTAATAACTGTCATCTAAAGTTTTCGTACACAACTAAGGCTAAGGTTCTTATGTTTACTATACACGTCTCTAGTTGTCTAACACAAGCTTTCAATAAGGCAGTAATAGACTTCCCATTCATCCTGTGTAGCTGTCCAAGACAAACTTAGGTCACCAGTGCTAATACAGCAGCTTTGCAGTTGATTTGTGTTTAGCATTATGGTTTGTGGCAGAATTAACTCAGCACAACTGCTCATTTCAAGCTGCCCCAAATGTGTCTTGAATTGTTTTGGATGTTCCTTTGCAAACAGCAGCTGCAGAAAGGTTATACTCACCCTCCGGGGACCACTATTCTTAAACAAAGTACACAGCGGTAGTGGTTATTATTACAGTAACAATGTTATCCCAGCACTAGACATTTGTAACAATTGCAAAATTAGAATTAGTTCTCCTTTCAGCTAATAAAGAAGCTTGGTGTATCCTCTTTGTGATGTAGACAAGTGATATATTGTTGTTGGCTGTGTATTAACTCTATCAGACATTTGTATTGGGCACATGGAGATTTCTCTAACAAGCTTATACTTAAAGATCTCATTTGGAATCATGCTTTGTCACACTTCCTAAAATAGTGATATACCAATGGTCTGTTATCAATTTTTGTTTGTATTCTTAGAGACCTGTCATTACCCCAATTTTTTAAGATTCTATTTACTTATGTTTAACAACTATGTTGTTGTGGGTTGTGAAAAAGAAAATAATATTTAGAAATTCACACCTTTTTATCCTGCAACGGGGTGCCTCCATATTAGCTACCTGTCATAATTGTTACAAACTCGGCTCTTTGCAACTTGCCATCAGCATCGATAAAGCATACAGAGTAAAGGAAACACATTAAAGTAACACTTTAAGCACCCAGACCACTTCATCTCAATGAAATGGTCTGGGTGCAAAGTGATCCCCCCCAGTAGCTGTCAGTCACTAGAGGTGTATGTGGAAAATAGCAGAGCAAAACTCTATTTTAATCTGATGGTCTCAGAGAGACAATCTTATTGGAGAAGTGTTTTGCCACACATGTACACTATGGGAAGGCACTGGATTGACTGAGAATATTGGTCTTAAAAATCTCAGCCAAAGAAACAGAACTTAAGTGAGGAGACCAGTGTTATGAGCGAGAACAGTAATGTAAACTCACCTTTTTAACCCTGGCAGTGCTGGTCAAGTCCCTCAATGTGAACCAGGGCACTATAGTGTTAGGAAATATATTTGTCTTCCTGACGCTATATTGTTCCTTTAAACAATGTTTCTATTTCTCCTCTTTGTTTGTTTGTAATGTTTTCCCTGGCTTTGCCATATCTGAACTAGATTATGATGCAATTTGCTAAATCTATAACATTAACGTAAAAAAGAAAGCCATTGGTTATTTTTAATGTTTTTTATTTTTTTATTCAATAGCGTGACTTCTTGAAAAATTATCATTTCCCTTTAATCAGTTTTCACTTTCATGGCTATTTGATGTCAAACAAGTGGACCTAATTTAAAGTGCACCAATTTCAATGAACACATTTTAGTTTCATAAGCTCTATTTTCAAATCCCATCTGTCATTTCTCATATATATTCTTTTCAAAGCTCACTGCATACTTTAAATGGTCAGTAGTGCCATACTTTAAATTAGCTAGTTGACTGTAGCTATAGATACTTTTTATGAAAGATGTGATACCGTAATAAATTATTTACTATAACTTTGTTCCTAATCTAAAAGTTTCATCCTTTTGATATCAAACTAGCTGCATTTTCCATGAACATAAGTACAAACACCTAGGGCTAGAAAAGAGCCAAAAAGAAAAAAATACAAACACGTATACATTTTTGTAATATATCCTTTTTTTCCCCCCTCTGTTTATATACTCAAGAAGACAGGAAATTGTTTTTTTCTAAAACTTTCATATGAATACATAAAAATGGTTTACAGTGGAAAAAACAATTGGCAAAAAACAAAAAATATAAAGCATGAAGCTCATACAATTCTTGTAACATCAATCATAAAAAATGTTTCAACAAAATGTGTCCTTTGGTTTACAAATATTTATCTAAAACATTAGGTCTTGTAAAACTCAAAAGCATTTCATTTGAATAAAGTTCAGCAAATTTATTATATTCTGAGTTACTCAAAACTCAAAACCGAAAAGGTCAGGCATACTGAGGTTACAAAAATGTTAATACATTCTATTATTATTATTATTGCCATTTATATAGTGCCAACAGATTCCGTAGCGCTTTACAATATAATGAGAGGGGGGATTTAGCTATAAATAGGACAATTACAAGAAAACTTACAGGAACGATAGGTTGAAGATGACCCTGCTAAAATGAGCTCACAGTCTATAGGAGGAGGGGTATAAAACACAATAGAACAGGAAATAGCAATCAAATAAGGTGGGAGTGAAGCAGAGCTGGAGGAGAAAGTAGAGTGCTGCCCTTTAAGAGAGAGCAACAGATATGTAAGGTAGAGGTTACTCTGGGAGGCCTTAAGCTTTCCTAAAGAGATGGGTTTTAAGGCACTTCTTAAAAGATGCAAGACTAGGGGAGAGTCTTATGGCGGTAGACAGCTATTCCATAGGAAGAGAGCCACCCGCAAGAAGTACTGCAAGCGTGAGTTGGCCGTACAGGTGCAAGCAATGGACAGGAGCAGGGCAGAGTGGAGAGATCGAGAAGGGCATACCTATGGATCTGTGAAGATATATAAGAGGAATTGTTCTGTGCTTTATAGGTTATAGGATACAGGAAGCCAATGTAAGGACTGACAGAGGGGTGAGGTGTGAGAGGATCGACTAGATGGGAAAATCACTCTGGCACTTTATTACCGACTGTAGCGGGGCAATACGGCTTTGGGAAGACCAATTAGGAGAGGGTTACAATAATCCATGCGGGAAATTACTAGAGCATGGACAAGCTCCTTGGTAGCGTCTTGCATAGGAAAGGGGCGGAGGCGGGCTATGGTTGTTTTTATTTTTTATTTTGGTTGTGCATAGATTTTACAAACAGTCTTGCCATGCCACAACAGCTAGGGCAAGCTTTTCAAGATATAGACATTCGTATGGCATTTGATAATTCTGCACATTTTTATGAAATTAAAGATGATATTACAAGAGTAACAGGCTTAACTTTTTGTAGGTAAAAACAGGGTGATGCTATCACTGCCTGTGGATGCTTAAATGAGATTATCAGTGTAAGGTCCTGCAAGTTATCAGGCCCGGTAGATATGGAACATAACACGAAAACATTAACTTTGTTTGTACGCCATGGGTGTTATTCCCCAGGATGCTGAGTAAAATGATATGCAAGACATTATTGTGTTATACTGCTAGACAGAATGCAGGAAGGAATAAAACAAAATAATAAAATATAGCCACTGGGGAGCTAGGCTGGTAAAATTATTGCTTATAGTGGAGCAGCAGTAGTCTGTTATCCCCAAGCCCTGAGCCGAAGCTTGACCCCATGGGACCTGTGAGAGGCAGTTTAGCCAATGCCTATCTGCGGCAGGTTATTGTCCTTGAGTTCGTTCTGGTAACAGGTACTGACCCGCTTGTGATTGCGGTAGCCATCATGAGGATTCCTTATTCCCACGCTGGGTGTGTGGCTGCCACTTGTGATGATCTTGTCTGGGGTGCAGCTCCCTTTTGGGTCGATGTCCAGGTGAGGGCTGTATGCTCTCTTCAGTCCCCCTCTCTGGTTTTAGGTAGGTCGGGCAATGCTGCGTGTATGGAAAGCATGTGGTTGGCTGATAGCCACGTGGCAGGTCCCTGTCTCTATAGCTCCGGGCTGTAAGGGGAGCCAGTGCCCTTAGTGGATCCCCCTTCTCCCAGTGGCGGGATCGTGAACTCCCGGGGCTTCTGGGTAACAGTTTACCCCTCGGGTCAGTGGACTGTGGCATGGAGGAGTCTCCAGTTGGGCCCCCGGCCAGGAAGAGGGCTCCAATTTATCATATAACAGCATAATTATCCCAATATATTTAGAACCAATTTAATACTAAAGGTTTGAACAAATCTTTGCTATTCCCTAGAAACATTTACAATGAATATACATTGAATTATAATAATGTATATTTCCAAAAGAAAATGTGACTGTGTGTCCTATTTGGCTACTTGTCTGTCCCTTGTCACAGTCTCCCATTTGGTCCCCTAGGGGAGTGTCCACCAGATGGGAGACCTGCATAAATACTGGGCAGATAGCCCTCATTAAACAGACGACTGCTTGACCCCCAACACAGAGCCTTGTCTCGTCTTTGGGGGGATTTACTGAATGCTGATAGAGACTGATTGCTAGGAGTGTAAGCCGCTTGGATGCTTTTCCTATTCGTCTGCTAGCAGCTATTCGTATGGTTCCTGTTCGTGAGTTTGGAGTGTTATATTGTAAGCAGTTTGGGAGATTGGAGCATTCCCTTATTTGCGTTTCGGGAGTTTGGTGTTCTTCTGTGTGATCAAATGGACCAGTCTTCACTCCACACATGCACCAATGAGACTCGGGTGCCCATGACCTTATTGTCAGTTTACTAGTTATACTTCCTTGCATCACTTTTGGTGGGTACTAACCACTGCATACTGGGAGAACCCCATAGGAATTACCATTTTGTTGATGCTCTGAACCAGTCACCTAGCCATCACTATTTGGTAATTGTCAAAGTCACTAATTTCTTTTTGCCTGGCCATTTTTTCCTACTTCTAACACATGAACTTCACAAACTGACTGTTCACTTGCTGCCTAATATATCCAACTCCTTGATAGGTGGCATTGTAACAATATAATCAATATTGTTTACTTCACCTGTCAGTGGTTTAAATGTTGTGGCTGATAAGTGTACACAGTGTACACATTCACACATATACACTCATACATACACAGACCTGCTCTAAAATGTTCACTAATCAATCATCCACCCAACCCTCTTCTGTTGCATGACTCTGTCAAGCAGCGAGGAGAGAAGTGCCAGTTTTCCATCCATGGTGTTTAGTGTGGCAAGACAAAGAGCTGTGCAGCAGGAAGCACAGCTCCCCCACACATTCAGCATACCAAACATTAAACAGGAAACAGGCATCCAGATATGACCTTACATCCTGACACTGTTGCCTGTTTGAGTAGGAAATTTCACTAAAAGATTAAAAAGGTAATTCAATGAGGACAATGTATACTGGGCAGTCAGTGGTTAAAATTGTTCTGGCACACAGAAATGTCAGTGTCCTCCCCTCACAGTATAACCAGGCACATACCAATTAGTTATTCTACTCATACTGTATGCCAATTGGCAACAGGGATACTACACAGGCATCCATATTTTATCATCTTACAATTATTTGTAATCTAAAATATAACATGTATGTCTTACATTCATGTCACGGACCACTCTACTCCAAGCAACTTGGTTCTAGAGTGAAAAGGTTTAACTACCTATATGTCTGCACTAGACCGAAAATATTGATTAAGGAACACCAGAGTTAAAGCACCATCCATAAATAACTCTAGTATCAAAAGCTGACAATACAGGGACATTTAGAAATGAAGTGCTTTAGGTTGTTTAAGCAAATCAGATTATATGAAATGCAAAACACAGGCTAGCAAAGTATCTATGCAATACAAAAATACTAATAGGTCTTATCAGGTAACAAACATGTTTCTTTATGCAACCAAAAGCAAGATAAAGGAATGTCTGTGCGTACATTAAAAATAGATGATAAACAAGTGATTTATACCAACAGTTAAAAATAACTTGTTCGACTGAATAAACTGGCCGCCGCCACGCATTTCAATGTCGAATGGCGACCACTTCGACACTTCGGCTGTATCCAAAGTGCCACTTTGAAAGTGTAGCAGTATTTAAATAGCAGTATTTAAATAGGCAGAAACAGTGCCTTAGAACCAAACAAGTCACAGGGGCCATAATCACAAGGCAAGAGGCTGGCAAACAGGCCCCTCCAAAGACCAGTGTCGAGGTCACTTATACCACAGTTCCCAATAGCATGTGGGGGTTCCTTCACTGCAGGACTCATTCTCCTCTTTTTCTTTTTCTTTGGGGTATTCTGTCCTCTGGGTCATTGGGGTGACACTTTAGATGGAACCCATTGTAAGCCTGTTCTTCACCTCCTGGGTAGATTCAGAGCCTGCTGAAAAGCTGGGACATTCTCCGACGTAGAGATTGTCAGGGTTTTCCCCTGATGGGTAACCATCAAAGCAAAAGGAAAGTTTCATCTGAACTTTTGGTTTTGGTCAGTAAGGGCTTTTGTGATAGGTCTAAGGGCCTTGCGCTCCTGAAGTGTAGTCAGGGATAGATAAAAATTCGATACTGCATGGTTTTCTTAGGATAACACCTTTTGCAGCCATGCCTGTCTGAAAATGTTCTCTTTCAGTGGGAATTAGTATATGCCACAACAAGAGGACATAGTCTTAAATTAGAAGGGCAAAGGTTTAAAAAAATGGATAAAAAAAATAAGTCATTACTATTGTAATGTACTGATGCTCACTAAATTTCCCCAAAGTTAATATAGAGACTCCATAGTAACTGGGGAAATGTCTCCCACTGGAGTAAGGGCTCCAATTTATCATATAACAGCATAATTATCTCAATATATTTAGAACCAATTTAATACTAAAGGTTTGAACAAATCTCTGCTATTCCCTAGAAACATTTACAATGAATATACATTGAATTATAATAATGTATATTTCCAAAAGAAAATTTGCTCTATTTCTCTGCCATGCCTGAAGATTCATAGCCTTTGATTTTATGTTCAGACCTGTTTATTTTACATCTCTGTATTTTATAGGTTTGTTCCTTTAGGTGTAGTTAAGGCAACCCTTTTATATGTCTGCTAAAGAAAACTACCAAGCCTGTACCACCTGCTTATTCTGGTTTCCTCCACCAGCTGCCGACGGCTGCTCAGTTTGGGCAGTTCAATGTGGGCTTATAAAGATGTCAGGCTGTATTAATTGCTGTTCTTCTGGGGATGTGATTTATCGGCATATGCTTATAATTAATAAATCTCTACGTTAACGCAGAACTCCAGAGGTTTGAAGATGCTGCTGCGTAGATATCACAGGCATGGATTTTATTCTCAAATAATTAAATGTCTTTATTCTATGAGGGCTTAGTCCCTGGTGATTTCAACTCGGGAGCTATATGTTTTTGACCTACTATGCAGATATTTATTATTTAAGATGAAATTGAATTTTTTTTATATTGTGCAATTTAAAATAACCACTAGAGCACTGTTCTCAGCAGTGTAAACACAGTAGCACGAGGATGTCTCTCTTTTCTACTGAGAATTATAATCCATGAATGACTTTTTTTTTTTTTTTTATCAACAAGTTTTTTTTTTGTGTGTTTACTTGCTTTTTTGTTTTTCTAATCTCCGTGGAGATTATTAGTTTTATATAAGGAGTTTGCCTAACAAACATATATTGCACAAAAGACATGGCAGAAATTAAATGTAAGCTTTTTTACATATTTCAGATTGAGCTTTTTGAGTATTTTGGAGATGGTGGAGATATAGCTACATCATTTGCGAGCAAATCAATTTAATAGAAATAAAGAGGGAGATTTCAAAGATGTGGGTTTAATAGTCTGAACTTGAATGTCTTGTGTTAAAGGTTTATGCATGTGCAAGTCTTAGTGTTTTTTATGTAACATCGGTCTGCTATTTAAAGGAGAACTCCAGGCATCTGTACATGATAGTGGCAATGATTTGGATATATTATTATTATTATTATTATTTTATTATTTATATAGCGCCATCAGATTCCGTAGCGCTTTACAATGGGTGGACTAACAGACATGTAATTAAAACCAGACAACTGGACGTACAGGAAAAGAGAGGTGGAGGGCCCTGCTCAATGAGCTTACATTCTAGAGGGAGTGGGGTATAGTGACACAAAGGGGTAAAAGGAAGGGGTACAAAATAGGTTGTTAGAAAAGTATTCACTGAGGGCTTAGTAGGTAATTTTTTACATTTAGTTTGTTATATTTGAACTCTTTTAAAATTAATCTAATTGTTATTTATTTTTTATTATTAATCTTGCCCCTTAGTTCCATCCATTCTGTAATTCACTCAATATGCAGTTTTTCTATTTTTGTTCAGAAGTACTGCTGTGACTTGATAATATGGCATATGCTTCTAGAAGTTGCAGTTTAGCTGTTACATTTCTCCATATGAAAATTGAAAATGGAACTTAAAGTCGTTTCAAAGTAAATTTCAAATTTAAGGTCAAAATATCTGAATTCCTGCTTGACTGATTCTTTCTGTATATGAGTTTTTAGTTGTATCAGCCTATGTGTCTCACTAAGTGTGTATGGGGGCAATGTGTGTGGGGCAATTTCACAGCATTAGGGCAATGTAAAAGCAATGCAATATTCATGGGACAAATATATTATCATAGGGGGCAATTTCTATAGGTCAATGTGAGCACGGATGGGGAATGCCCAGGTAGAATCAAAGATTTAATGTCCAGGCAAGATGTATCTCTAACCCCCTTACCTCTAATCTGTTTCTTAACCCTCTTACTTTGACATCCTTGCAAATAAATATACAATCATACATGCACTTACATACAAACATGGACACATGCAGTCACATACACAATCAGCTATACATACATATACCTAAATACACAGTCACATCCACATGCATATTGACATATACACACGGTCATGCATCCAGAAACACAGTCAGATAGACACAGCCACACAGTAGTCAGACACATATACTATGTTACATATGATTAGAAACGCAGACACACACAGACATGCATACATCGCACACACCACACAGTCAATGGCACACAATCATATACAAAGTTACAGGATCACAAATATACACAGTCGCACACAGTTAAAGGCACATGCACAGTCAGACACCACACACAATCATGGTTACACAGTCACTGCTACAAGAACACACTGTCACACACAGTTACAGCCACTCACACAGTTAAAACCATACACACACGCAGTTACAGCCACACACACAGTTATAGCCACACACACACCATTACAGCCATTCACATACAAATACACACTTGCAGTCACACACACAGTTACAGCCACACATACACACACTTACATGGGCAATGATGGTGTAGGCTGGTGCATACCATGGTGTCTAGTGTTTGGGGTAGCAACTTCCTCTTCAGCAAGTAGCCTTTTGCAAGAAGGCATGGCTGGTCCTGGGCCAGCAGAGTAAGTCTCAGTGTCTGCTGCTTTGGTGAAGGCACCGGTTTGGTGGGCATCTTCATTCGTCGCCCAAGGCACATGCTCCTCTATCTATCTATCATAGCACATAGCTAGAACAGCCCGAGCTTACACATGCATCTTTGTCTTTGTTTGTTTTTATGTTTTGTTTTTTTACATTAAAAATATTAAAATGCAATAATATCTTAAGATCATATTGCCAAATTTAAATTCCTCACCTCTCCCTATACAGCTGTCCTAATAAATATTTTTTCTTAATAAGGAAATATAAAAACTAGGCAGGCTAAATGCAACCAATATGTCATTTTTAAAGAGCAAGAATATTTAATCAGTCTCATAAGGGCCATGTTTTCAGTGCCTTACACTCATAAACTTCTGGGCAGGTGCAGGTAGCAGTTTCATTGTTGGGGACCTGAAACACAATGAACAATGCTTGCTATCATTTGCTACAAAATTATGAAGCACAAGAGTTCACACTGCAATATTCGGTAATGACATTCATGCATGCATGGTTTTTCAATCAGATAGAAAGGAGGGGATGTGAGAGAGGGAGACAAAGGTAGAGGAAATAAGAAAGAGTGATGGCAGTGAGGAGTGTATGAAAAAGAAAAGACAGTGAAAGGAGGAGGAATATTAAAGGCAAGTTAATTAAAAAAGTAAAATTGACATATTTCAAATGCTATTTCAACGATAGTTTCAAATGATACTGTATGACATGGGAGAATTCCATCATTGCCACCTTTGTAAAAGGAGAAATTAGCATCAATGTGAGGTGATATTTAAACATTATGTTCAAAATGACACTATGTTTAAAGAATGGAGCCGCACACTCCCCGCTCTCATCTTTAAGCAATACTGGCCCTGGCGAAGTTATGGACTGAAACTTTGATTAAATTATATGCAAGTTTGCAATATGTTGGTACAATAAAAACAGCATTTTCCTTCTGTAACAAGAACCCTCAGTATTTTCAGTAGTTATGGTGGTTCTCCCTTGCTGCAGTGGTTATAGAGTGGCCCCCCTTTTTACTGTTTTGTTGCAACCAAGGACATGTTCACCTGGACTTCGGGTTTCTCCTTACATTGCTGGATTTTGTATGCCCCCTGATGTATTCCTTAGCTGATTCGGTGAATTAAGACTTTATTACAAACAGGAAAATGCTATTCAAGTAGCCAACAAACTGCTGAACAACCGACCACCCTGCATGTGGAGTGTGATGCTTGTTAACCTCACAGAAGCTGTGGTTAACCGCAGCTTAATTGACGAATGGCTGGGTGGTCGGCGTTCGTATACATGAACATGTGGCAGCGGACATTTTGTTTAGCCAAACACAGTCAGCGGTATTTTGCCGTCGAACACCTGGAACCAAAATCGGACAGTCAAAGGCACGAACACCACTGGGACTTCGACCTTCCAGTATGTTAGGTAAAATCCCCACGAACAGAGCGCCATTCGGTAGAAGTAATCTAATGAACACCCTTCACCACTATCTTGGCTCACGAATGGTTCTGTTCGTCTATTCAGCCTCTATTTTAATCATGGAAAAAGACCGACCGCACAGCCCAATTCTCTGGAACTATTTTGAGACCTCAAGCTAACTTTGGAACCCCTGTTCTGATCTGGGTGATTTTTGTATATGTTGTTCACCGAGATCAGGGTGGTGATATGTTGGAGTTTTGGGGTGTTTCTGCACTTTGGGTAAAAATAGGTACTTTCTGCCTGTGGATAATTGAGTCAGTTCATTATCCACCTTAATTATATCACAGGAAGAGGGGAGAGGTTGCTAACTGTATGTGGGAGTGTTACAGTGATAATTATTGTTCCCATTGGTTTATGTTCCTTGTGCCCCTGTTTTCCATCAGGTCCAGGGGGTGTGCCTCTGGCCTGAAAAACTGTATAAAAATGCAAGCTGTTCAATAAACCTTCTTACCCTCAACTCGCAGCATCGTCTCGTGTTGTAGGGAAATGCTATACCTGTTTATACCTCTGAGGAACTTGCTCCTCAAAGCAATCTACTTCACAGCACCCTTCCAGATTGGGGAAAAGGACAGCTAGGCGGTGGAGACCCCAACTACTCTAGGGGTGACCGTCACACATTCCTTTAGTAAAGCCCAGTGAGTGCTCTCTTTCATTTGATGTATATATAGGAAGCAGTTGTGGGAAGGGTTATCTGGCCTATAAATACATGGCCTCCCTTCCCTTGGTCCGATGTTGCTTGGCATGGGTGTCTGCAGACATTTTTCCAGAGGGGGAAGGGGGGACATAATTGTAATGACATTCATGCTTTGCCCCTTTTTTCAATGTCATGAAGGGGAGGCACACAATATTTTTTACATAGAGTACAGGCATGCAAATGGTTGAGAAACCTGATGCAAAAATTTAATAGAAGAATCAAATTGCCATTTTCTGATTTGATATACACACTGACACATATACAGATGCACAGACACACAGACACACACACAAACAGATACAAAAACACGTCATACATACAGATACAAACACTGACACACATGCAGATGCACAGACACAGGTACAAACACTGACACACATGCAAATACACAGACACATACTGTTAGATTCAGATTCATAGACACACATTTACAAACACTGCCGCAGATGCACAGACTCACAGATACAAACACTGACATACATCTAGATTCACAAATACAAACACTGCCACACATGTAAATACACAGACAGATACAAACACTGATGTTCAACTTGCTTTGTGCATTTTTTTTTTTTTTACATGCATGACAATTTTTATCCTACAATAAATTTTGACTGCTCAGGCGAAGATGCATTTTGCATCCTCCACCCAAAAAATGCACCTTCACCTGTGTGTTTCTTAACCCCCCTTTTAAAATTCTTACCCACTTTTGTGCTTTTCATCTGTTGAATATCCTATAGAGTACAGGAAGATCTAGTCACAACATTTCTCATATGTTGCTATTTTTATGTTTATCTACAGCATATTTTATGAGGAATAGAAAAAGCTTCCTACAAAAGGATAAATAAATATTCCAGAACATATTCCCCAGTTGCACAAACTCATGATTAAGAAAATATCTGATATGGCAGATATAACAAGTGTTTATGTGTAACTAACATTATAAGAAATTATTAAAACATTTTCTTTAACGCGAATATGAGGAGCAAATAAGATTAGTTAGATAACCCTAGACACTACTAAGACGAATGGGAAACAAAGATTAAAAGAGATAACAGGTTTTAAGTGCTGGTATGAAGAAATTTATTTGGAAAATTGTTTGACAACAAATTTTTTTTTTTTTTAATCGATTACCTGAACTAGGTATTGTTGTGTCATGTTATGTATACTAACATTGGTTATTGTCATTAGAATTTATGCTGAAAAAAGCTATTGTGGATGGATGCACTCCCCTTCCCCTTTTATCATTTTTTTTCTTCTTCTTCCTTTGACCCTCTCCCCTCCTAATTTTTTATTTTTTGTTTTACTGATTAACATTGCAATTTAATTGCATCATTCATTCATATCAACATGTTATTACAATGAAAATTGACTATAAAGTGCCTGTTCAATATTTTCATCATTGATTTACATATGGATTGGATACATTAATATTTACTCTTTTTATCAAAAGAAAGAAGAAAATAGAGGGGGTAACATAAATAGATAATCCAAATATAAAAACTATCATTTTAATTGATATTAGTTAAAAGTCCTAGTTGGACAATGAACAAAGCACACCACACACTCTATATAGTCTGACTATGTACAGCCTAAAAAAAGGACACTCGTGCAAAATAAAATATAAACAAAAAATAAGAATTATATAGAAAGGTGAACAGGTCTTGTCAGCTATAGTTTGACTGTACTTAAATAAGTGCAGTTAGCTCAGAGATATATATATATATATATATATATATATATATATATATATATACAGATAAATGGCTATATTAAGCTCACAGTAAAATAATGTCTATATCCCTAATAAGATATATTTGTCCAAGGTATATATGATATCTATGTTAGGGGTTATTGAAGTCCACCATAATAGAGACTTCACTGACAGATATAGGCTGGGAGGTACATATTTTAGAAGTATTGTCCCTAAATAGTCCAGTACTATTTAAATAGTAAAAAAGACTACCCAGATTTAGTGCTATGGATGTTCCTCATAGTACAGCATTGAGCATTGATTCAACCTTGGCAAGGTTATATTAATTACCATCAGGTCGTGTAATGTAACAATGTAACCAGTGCTCAAAATATAATTACTGTTACAGTTACAATCTCAGTAGTTTGAATGCTGCAGTGCCGTGATGATATAACCAGAATAGATGCTTGAAAGGGATATGGTACGGTGTTATATAGAGAAGGGAGATAAAATCAAGGTACCTTCACTCCCCACCTTCCTGTAATTATTACTGGTAACAAGGGTGATAATTAGTGATGTCGCGAACCCGAAATTTTCGGTTCGCGAACGGCGAACGCGAACTTCCGCAAATGTTCGCGAACCGGCGAACCGCCCGAAACGCCATTGACTTCAATGGGCAGGCGAATTTTAAAACAAACAGGGACTCTTTCTGGCCACAATAGTGATGGAAAAGTTGTTTCAAGGGGACTAACACCTGGACTGTGGCATGCCGGAGGGGGATCCATGGCAAAACTCCCACGGAAAATTACACAGTTGACGCAGAGTCTGGTCTTAATCCATAAAGGGCATACATCACCTAACATTCCTAAATCACAATGGATATGGATTGACACCTGACATATGACATATTGACACCTTGACATATGGATTCACACCTATCCTAAGGATCCCTGATACACACTGACACAGAGCAGAATAGGGACTGTTCCCCCTACATAGGATCACTTGGCAGGTATGGATTGACACCTATCCTCAGGATCCCTGATACACACTGACACAGAGCAGAATAGGGAATATTCACTAAATGCCAAACATTGTTATACAGGAGAATATTCAGTAAATAAGGACCTACTGTCCTCCCCCCCGGCCCCCAACCCTGCACGGTGGGTGTGGG